GTGAGTTTGTGTGAGAAGTGAGTGTGTGTGTGAGAAGTGAGAGTGCATGTGAGAAGTGAAAGTGTGTGTGAGAAGTGAGTGTGTGTGTGAGAAGTAAATGTGTGTGAGAAATGAGTGTGTGCTAGAAGTGAGCACGTGTGTGAGAAGTGAGTGTGTGAGAAGTGAGTGTGTGTTGTGTGTTATAAGTGAGAGTGTGTGTGAGAAGTGAGTGTGTGTGTGAGAAGTGAGTTTGTGTGAGAAGTGAGAGTCTGTGTGAGAAGTGAGAGTGTGTGTGAGAAGTGAGAGTGTGTGTGAAAAGTGAGCGTGTGTGTGTGTGTTAGAAGTGGTGTGTGTGTGTAAGTGAGTGTGTGTGTGAGAAGTTAAGAGTGTTTGTGAGAAGTGAATGTGTGTATGAAATGTGAGTGTGTGTGTAAGAAGTGAGAGTGTGTGTGAGAAGTGAGAGTATGTGTGAGAAGTGGGGCTGTCATGTGGGTTCGATAACGTGGATGGGGTAAAAGCACTCACGTAGGCTGTTTAGTACATATAATTATAACGGAAAGTATGGGAAGCACCATCAGCCGCCCTGCCTCTCTCTGCTCCCTATCTCAGTCTGACCCACCAGTGCCTAGGGGTGAACGGTGTTCAAAAACATGCTATGGTCAGCAGCAACTTGAATAACAGTCAGTGATTCACACAGACGGTTGGTAGTGAGTCATCTACTGGTAATTGGTTACTGGAAACTGATACTACTGAGAGCTCGGCGATGCTAACGTATGTCGTCCCGACATACAGCTAATACAAACTAGAGATGGCAGGTGTACGGCTTGGGCTGATGCTACAAAAATTGCTCGTAAAAATAATGGTACACGAGTCTACGAAAAAATGAAGGGAATGAGGCACTGCTGGCATATGAAAAAAAACAAGGTACACATAGAAATAAATGGATAATTTAGTATACTGGGGTGAATAACACTGCATGAATTACAATAATGACAAATACTGGAGAATACAATGCTGAAAGAACACAAGATAAAAAAAATAATGAATGACTTCATATGCAGTGAATGACTGGGGTAAGGAACAAAGTACTGCACAGAAATAAGGAATACACTTGAACACTACAAAATAATACTCACTAAAGGCAAGGAGTAGTAAAAAAACACAGATAAAAAATATAAAAGTGAAACACGAGAAATGAGCGATAACACTGAAAAAATATTGTAAAAATAATGAGTCAAAGAGACACTGAGTTTACACTGAGAACACAAGACTTCGAGTACACACTTCTCACACACACAAATGTCTTTAAATGCAGGAAAATGTCTCTAAACAGAAAATTATCGCTGAAGTCTGGAGTGGTAGACCACGGTGACGAGTGATGAAGTGAAGACATTGTCCTGTGCGGGTGATGATTCCTCCTACACTCACACTGTTGTCGTGAAGAAATGCGCTTTCTAGGTGAACTCACATAACTGGCTTTATCGTTGGTGCACAGCTACAATCTCTTGATCAATTATGTAAACCAAAACAGTACAAGGATCAGGTACAAGGGTGGAAAAAACCCACTGGTAGATGAGGTGGGTGAGTGGGTGGCGGGTGGTGCTGGTGGCGGTAGTGGTGCTGGTGGCGGTGGTGGTGATGGTGGTGGGGGCAGCAGAACAAGCTGGCCCTGTGCACTCTCACTGCCACGCACTTCTCACCAGGCACAGCATCCAGGTGGCTTAAATAAGCCACATATGCCACAGGGATGGTGAAGACCACTCTTAGCACCCAACTGGGAGCACAAAGCGATATAGGAGACAATACTTCACAGGAACTTGCGTGGCTTACGTCTCTCTCGCAGCTGGGTTAGGAAGGTGGGTTGGCTGACTGGCTTAACCCACGAGAATGTCTTGTAACGATGCACACAGCAAGAAGGAGCAGGTGGATGACAAGAGACAGGCTGGATGATAGGCTGAGGCAGGCTGACTGGCTTTCACAGTCTGGCTTACTGGCTGGCTTAATTGCAAAATCCGGGTCAACATCTCGGAGATTGAAGCAATTAGCACACGAACTAAGCCAGGAAGCTTGAAAGACGGCTGCAACTTGCTTGCAGGCTGGAGTACACAGGGTGGAGGTGAGGGTAAGCTTCTAGCTAGAGGTGGCAGAGACGGTTCACCTCTGACCTGCCGGCACCCCACAAACAATCTTCTAACGTCTGAAATACCCGTAAATCCACTCCCACACTGCTGTCACCAAATTGTCATGTGGGTTCGATAACGTGGATGGGATAAAAACACTCACGTAGGCTGGTTAGTACATATAATTATGACGGAAAGTATGGGAAGCACCATCAGCCGCCCTGCCTCTCTATGCTCCCTATCTCAGACTGACCCACCAGTGCCTAGGGGTGAGCAGTGTTCAAAAACATGCTATGGTCAGCAGCAATGTGAATAACAGTCAATGATTCACACAGACAGTTGGTAGTGAGTCATCTACTGGTAACTGGTTACTGGTAACTGATACTACTGAGAGGACTGTGTGTGAGAAGTGTGTGTGAGAACTGAGTGTATGTGTGAGAAGTGATAGTGCATGTGAGAAGTGAATGTGTGTGTGAGAAGTGAGTGTGTGTGTGAGAAGTGAGTGCATGTGAGAAGTGAGTGTGTGTGTGTGAGAAGTGTGTGTGAGAGAAGTGAGAGTGTGTGTGAGAAGTGAGTGTGTGTGTGAGAAGTGAGTGTGTGTGAGAAGTGAGTGTGTGTGTGAGAAGTGAGTCTGTGTGAGAAGTGAGAGTGTATGTGAGAAGTGAGAGTGCATGTGAGAAGTGAGTGTGTGAGAAGTGATGTCAGTATAGCTACTGAATTCCCATGTATATGTTTGTGTGGTATATTGTAGATCGTATCGTCCATATATACATTTAGGCTCCCTGCTCAGCTAGGCCCAGTGGCCAGCATGTGTGACGTTATGTGGTGCCGTATGTGAGCATCGCTCACCATGCCCCTCTCTCAGTTCCCGCATAGACCTACAGGCAAGAACAATTCAATTCAATTCAATTCAAGTTTATTCACTATAAGGGTTACAATGTGGGATTTACAGGTTTTGGGTATTGTGTGGTTTACATGTTATAAAATACTAATTACAGAAGGGGCCACTAGGACACCTAGCATGGCTAGGCATTTCGGGCAGACTTAGGTTAATTCTTAACATTAAATCCTTACAGATTATGGTATTAAGGCTAAGTGACTACATCATAATTTTTGAGTTCAGCAATGTGAATGCTTTTGTTTTGGCACAATACAAAGTGTCTATATTGGAGTATCATAGGCAAACTTATGACTAGTTAGGATTTATTGTTTTAAGATTAAGATTAGTATTTCTGGGTTTATAGTCAGTGGGAGAGTGAGTGTAATTGTGTACCACCAGGTGGTTTTCATGTTGTTAGTTGTTGGGGTGTATCAGGGAGTTAAGATGTTTTCTAACTGTAGTTTTAAAAGTGAAGAATGTGTCTGCAGTTCTAGAGTTTTCAGGTAGGGTGTTCCAGATTTTAGGTCCTTTGAAATACATTGAATTTTTGTAAAGGTTTAGTTGAACACAGGGAATGTCATAGAGATGTTTGTGTCTGGTGTTATGCCTGTGGATCCTGTCACAACTATCAAGAAAGCATTTTAGGTCAAAGTTAATATTGGAATTAGTAGTAAGTGTGGTTGGTCTGAAGAGGGAGTAAGTTTAGATCTATGAAGAGTGGGGGGCTGTGTTGCCAGGGATGGGATTTAGTGATTATTCTTACTGTGGCTTTTTGTTGGGTTATTATTGGCTTTAGGTGTGTTGCTGCAGTTGAACCCCAAGCACAGATAGCATAGGTGAGGTATGGATATATAAGTGAATGGTATAGTGTGAGAAGGGTATAGTGTGTTAAGTTGCGCAACACCTGCTCTGTTACCAAACATAATATAGTAGGTTTTGCCAGTGTTAAGTGCACAACAAGGAAAGCTGGGCTTTCCCCTCATGACTCTGCAAATACAAGTGTTACCATCCATACCCAAGTGTATTTCTACACCACCTTTTTCTCCTGGAACCCCCATTTTACAGTGAGAGTGTGTTGAGAAATGGTTTACCAGCTAAGTTTATAGTTTAAATATAGGGAAAACTTAGCTTAGAAAGACAGCTCATCGCCTGCACAGCCG